TGTGTGTGTGTGTGTGTGTGTGTGTGTGTGTGTGTGTGTGTGTGTGTGTGTGTGTGTGTGTGTGTGTTGTGTGTGTACGCGTGCATGTGCGTGTGCGCGCGTGCGTGCGTGTGGGTGTGAGTGGCAGCCATGGCTGCTGCTCTCCTGGCCACAGGATTGATCTCACACGCGGCCCCTCTGCTGAGCTAGTCAGTTTGTCAGCAGGTTGTCCTATGTGATCACGCACTGCGCTCTCAATTCTGCGCCAGAGGCCATGGCCCGCACACACCGTGGTTTCGGTTGGCTTTCATTTCTCATGTCTCTTCACGGCTGCTCCCTGATGTCTGATAATCAACGCCTTGCTCGACCCCAGCCTTGTGTATCCTCCCTGGTCAACCTCACGGCCCTGTGGGAGCATGCAGGGCTACACCAGTACTGTAAGCTTGGGCGTGTGCAGGCCTACCTGGTCGCCCGATACGAAACCAAGAGGTTGGCCCTTGTGGAATGCGACACAGCGCAGCGTCAATTTCCACACGACAGCCTCCGGCAACCAATCAAAACCTTGATTGCCATTGGGCCATGCGAGGCCGGGCAAGATGTGTTGGAAGCCAAGTAAGGTCCTCCCAGATTAAACTGACACCACCGAGGCTGGGGAAGCTCAGGCCACCCGCAATCTCGAACAGACGAGTGCGGCACGCAGCAGTGGCAATTGAAAAAACGCCCACGACACGGCGCAAGCCGCGCTGCTTGACGACGGCGCGCGACAGCGCCCGCGCGGTGGCGGCCACGCCCGGCCACGTGCAGCACGCCGCGCAGCATGCCGTCACACAGACAGCACCTCCCGCAGCTGAAGGTTGGGCACCAGTGCGCGTCCACGCAGCGCCTGCCGAGCGCACACGAGGGCGCCAAATGCACCCCTTGTCCACACATTCAAATTGTGGTGTGCGTGCGGTTTTACATTTGTTTGCAAGGTGTGTCGCACAGCCAGCAACCGCGTGGACAGCTGTTTCTCGTGACTGAGTCTGCCTGATGCCACGCCTGCCTGTTAGCTTTTGGTTACTTGACACGCTCAACAGCAGACTCTCGTAACGAGAAGGTCAACGCACGCTGCAAAGCGGTCGGCCCAAAAAAGCCGTGCAGCCAGCAGGTGGGAGCAAGGCTGCGCTTCACGGCACGCTACAGGTGGCACGACGTGCCGCAGGTGCCAGTGGCAATCTGATTGGCAGCCGAAAAGTCACAGCCCCAGATCTGCCATCTCCTCCAAGTAAATCCTGACCTGGTAGGGGGGGGGCGGCAGGGAGGGAGCCTTACGCATTGTTTCAAAAGTGGGGTGGCTTGGGTGCGTGTGTCTGGTGCAGGGCCACCCAGACCCGCCTCAGCGCTGCAATCGGCAAATGCCGCTGCATCAAAGCGGGCCGGGGCTGTTGAACCCGCTGAGATCAGATCCTGCAGCTCCTGAAACATTGTGGCCCCGCACCTCGTAAGGGGTCAGCTCCCCGGGGCAACCCCTCCGCACGAGCGCCGCCCGCAGCCACGCGCTCACGCCGCCGACCACGAGCCCGCCCTGGGCGCCCGCGCCGCCGCCCGCGCCGCCGCCCGCGCCGCCGCCCGGCACGCGCAGGGCGCGGCCCCGCATCAATTTCGTGCGCACCGCGCCGCCGCCGCCGCCACCGTTGAGCCTGATGCGCGTGGCGTCCGACGTCAGGGTCAGATCATATCCTCCAGACCTGGAAGGCAGCCACGCCCGAAGCGCCGCCACAATCCCCAAAGCCTCCCGCGGGCTCAGCCGCGGCGGCGCCGCCGCGCCGGCTGCCGGCTT